ATCTAATGACTTCGAATGGCTGCTGATTCATTTTATGAAGCACGGACATTGGCAATACATGAAGCAAATCAACAGACAACTTTATTTCAATAGATCAAACGTACTGATTGAAAAATGCTTGGTTAATTGGTACTTCAAAGACGACTAGTTCATCCTAATACATGGTGAAGATAATAAAGTGTCTAATTAAAGTTATCGGAGGCAGCCATTGGATAGATTTCTTTTCAATATTAAACTCTTTATGAAATAATAGTAACTGTAAGGATGGTCAACACCTTCGTTGTTCATCATATATGCCCACATTATTGACCGTCTTTACGTAATGATATTGGCCGGAATGTCATCATAAATTGCTTGCCGCATTATTGTTTGAATTCCTTCCATATGTGCATGTTCTTCGATCTAACATTATAGTGCAGAAAAAACAAATAAAAATTTACGACAAGCATTTTTGAAATCAGAACTCTTAGTATAAGTAGCATAAACTTACCGCTACACATTAATCAATACATACCAACAGAAAGATGTGAGCGGGTTTGTTACGGCGGTGATTCGACGGGTTCCAGGATTTGCATAGAATAACGTATTCAAATTCTGTGTCGTAAACGCTCGAAGATTACGACGTATTAATTCCGTTTTAGAACTGTGTAGAATATTTTGATGTGACACATTCTGTTGGAAGAGGACACTGTCATGGATGTGAGTTCACTGCACTTGGATCACGGTAAGATTGACCGGTAAGGCAACGTGAGACTCTGACTTTGTTGTTTCCCTTTCTATTCTCACAACTGTAGCGTCCTACTTCTAGTCCTATATGATGGACAGGAAAGCTTGTTTATGAAAAATATGAGATTGTTAACCATTCACAGATTATTTCTGTGTGATCAAAACAATCCGCAGCACGCACCTTCACTTCTTGATTGTCCAGATCAAACTAAATTTGATAAGCGACGAATGTATTGCGTAGTAACACAAATTCCATAGATTATGGAATTTGATATGTTGATATCGTCAACAAATGCAATCCACATATCATGCCCTAATGGAAATACCTCTTCGATGACTCAAGACAACAATGATTTTCTCGCTACCAGACTTTGCAGCACATTGGTCATCCAGCAATTACCGCAGGAATGCAGGAACTATTACTGGTTGAATTCCATGAATTTTCCCGAAGTTTGTATTGCCTCTTGATGGCAGCTTGTTCTCTTCAAGAGCAGTGGTACGTATAGTGCTCTAAAGGGGATAGTGGTTGTACCGATGAAGACCCAGAGAGCAACAAGCCCTAAGTTCTACCATTGTGTACATGAAACGAGCTATGGTGGGGCGTGGGGGTGAAGGGGAATGATTAGCTCTTTTCTATCTGATTAGGAAAGTGTTGTTTGAAGTGGCTTTCCCATTTGGCTCCTATATAATTCGTAGAAAATCAAACGCAACCTCGATTTGTCGGTAACTGCTATAATGCTCTGAGCGCCGGGCTATAAGAATTCTTTTGGAGCACATGAGTGCAGGCTGAATGAAATCAACTACTGTGTCCCTCTAAAATAGTGGTGGGTATGCAGGCAAATTTGGGATCACCTTAACAAGACACATCTAATGATATGCATTTTACTCCAGATCACCCAGCTCATTCTGAGGCACTTCCTGATTGTGCACTAATTTTCATTATGTCGCCATGGTGGCAGTGCAGTAGATTTTGTTACTTACAAAGAAACGATACTTGGTGTCGGTGGCCTTTTGAGCTGAAACTTATACCACCACACTCGCCTTGGAACGCTGAATTCGAACCTCACTTCCGTTTCTGCTAATCGTTTCTCTGAAAGAAGTTATGAGGGATTTTGCGTCAATGGTTGCCCATGAAAAATACGGTCGAGGATGCCTAACTTTTGAAAAGAAGCTTGATTGGAGCAATGCAAAATTGAATAACACAAAAGGACTCGAACCTAAACCTGCAATAACTCGTGAGGCTATCGCACTAGCCACACACCACATCGTAGGGCTGTTTCGGCATTTCGACCATATTCCCTTGGCGCAAAAATCCTTTATAACTTTTTTCAGAGAAACGATTAGCAGAAACGGAATTCAGATTCGGAATCAGCGCTCGAACCCGACTCTAATGATGAATGTTTTATCTCAAAAGGTCACGGACACCGAGTATCGTTCCCTTGTTATCACTTACGTGGTTTAGCTGTGTGCAGTAAACATAATTCTTTTGTGAGCACCAGTGGCGTACCGAGGGGGGGGGGGGGCGGGGGGGGGGCGCGCCCCCCCCCCCCCGAATGGGTCGCGAAATTTTTGAAAGTTGCTTATATGGGTTATAAAAATGTGCAAATGACTTGTTTATTTTTGTAAATAATTAAAATAATTTTTTAAAATTTTTAAAAATTCAAATTAGCCTTGTAAAAAAATTTTTTTGGGGGCGTGGCTGACGCCACGCCCCCTTTTTCCGGATTTTAGGGGTTGGGGACCCGCAAAAATTTTAAGAAGCACTCCTTAAATTTTTTCGGAGTGCGTGGCTAACGCCACGCACCTTCATTCGAACAATTTTTTTGTCGCGCCCCCCCCCCCCGAGCGGAAATTCTGGGTACGCCACTGGTGAGCACGTATTCACCATAGCATATCGCAGCGCGCACAAAAAAAAGCTTTAGTAAGCATTTTCCGATAGAGCTGTGTC